GTACTGTAATGATACTGTGAAGTTACATTAGATCTGTAGAGACTGTAATGTGCATCTCATCCATCCTAATTTTAATGAATTAAAATGAACTAATTTTAAGTAGGGAGCTGTGTCAGCACGGATAGGCTGCAAAGGAACTGGTAAAGGTTCATTCCATGCTGAACTGAAAAGAAAAGAGACACAACGGTTTAGCTGTAGAACCATCTTCAGGAGCGGTTGACACATGAAGAAGTCTCCACTGCCGAAACACTGCATCTCTGGTTTGTAGAACTTGTCAGGTTCTTGCTGGGCATTAATAGGCATAGCAGGTTCACAGCAATTCAACTATGTCAATTTAATAATTAAGCCAAACTTTCCCACCAGGGAAGTACAAACAAGCAAGGATTTTGGACAACTGCAGCACCATGACATCATCGATATTCTCAGCTCCCAGAGCAGCAGCAGTCTGGCTCACTGTGCTGATCTAGGAGAGCCTCCAATCTGAAGCCAGTGCCAAGTGTAACTCTACCGCTTTCCTCAAGTGCGATCCCCAGATGGCGCCAGAGAGCCCGTGTACATCTCGAGCTTCTCTGTGAATTCTTTGAAGTGTGCCCTTGCTTCCAATTATAAATGCAGCTCACAGCCTTGACACAATGTGTAGTTTTTTCTTTATCTGGGATCAGCATATTCCTGTTTCATACCCAGTCCATGATGGCAGCCATGATCCTGGTGATCTGCCCACAAAGCGCAGGAAGGCGTACATTGTCATCAGAGGCACCGAGAAACCTGCAAGCTCGCAGGTGCTCCAGCCTGCCACAGGGGGGCGCCATGGCCCTGCAAACTCAGGAGAGCCTAATGAGTGCAAGCCTGCTGTGCTCCAGCACAGAGCCCCATAGCTGCTGGCAAACCCTGGTCACAGCAAGGCCAACAGCAGAGTGCAGACTGGAGTTGGCCTCAGAGAGTCAAAGATGCAGATATTTCTGCAGGCTTGTGCCTTTAAGAGTTGATCACCTGCTGTGATCCACGTCATTCAGATGACTGGAGCACCAGGCAGCGCATGTCCTGAAAAGCCACAATACCAAATAAAT